TTTTATTTATTTATTTGACAGACAGAGACACAGCGAGAGAGGGAAAAACAAGCGGGGGGAGTGGGAGAGGGAGAAGCAGGGAGCCCGATGTGGGGCTCGATCCCAGGACCCTGGGATCATGACCTGAGCTGAAGGCAGACGCTTAACGACTGAGCCACCCAGGCGCTCCCATTTTTTTTTTTTTAACCAACATGTTTCTTTGGCCACATTCAGAATCAAACTACCACAAAAAAGTCAATTAAACAAGGTACAAGGAAAAAAGGCTATATTTCAATTGAGAAAAAAAAGCTAAGGAGGAAAAAAATAAGCAAAGAACAGATCTAGAAAGCAGAAGATCAAATTCATTAAAACTCCTACATTTTCAGGGACAAAAGTTCTCAGGTACAAGCCGAGTTACTTAATGTAATGAATTTTTATTTTTTGTCTCAGACTAATATAAAACTTTTCTAATATTTCCTCCACAAAATTAAGAGGGAAAGGTAAAAATATGTTATATAACCATAAATCTTTGAAAAACACTCCAAAAATAATATATACTTCCAAAAAGAAAAAATTAGTATTACAAAAATTAAACTTTACCTCAAATTCATGGTGGTTCCAGGAGATCACATTAGCACTACCAAGCTCTCTATCAATATTAAATGCTCTCATTTCAGATTCAAGACTATCTCTCAGTTCTTCACGTGTTTTGAAATTCCAAATTAGGTTTGACTTGGCATGATCCTGACCAAACCTATACATATGATCAGAAAATAGTAAGAAGCAATAAACATTAAAAAAAAATCTATAAATACCCCTTACTACATTTTATAGAGTAAGAAAACAGTGGAATTAACAAACTTCAGCAAGTGTAAATGAAGAAAATAAAATCTCTGTAAAGTATAGTACAATGTAAATGGTAGAATCTTGGTGATAGGTAATAGGTGTACACTGTAAAATTCTTTGACCTTTTCTGTATGTTTGGAAGTTTCCATAATAAAATGCTAAGGGAAAAAAAATTAACCCAAACCACAAAAACAAATCTGTGTGGATTTTAAAACAAGGAACTGATATTCAATTTCAATATTTATTGCTACTATAAATTTCAGTCAGAAAATAATTACAATCAGGTATCAAATTTCAGGTTGGGGATAAGAATTTCTGAACTTTGCACCCGGGTAGGATGAGCAACATTCTAGATTAGAATGTTACAAACTACCTAAGAAAGAATACAGCTAAACTGCCAAGTTCTGATTGATATTTGTAAAACATCTTCTTTTTATGCCTAGAATAATTTAACTACTGTAATAAATTTGGACACAGGTCTGAACTGGAGGTGGATGGGCATCATATCCTTTCATTTTCATTCTGCAACACTCCTAAAAAGTCTGATGTCAGAGCTCCAAGAGAGTTCTACGGGAAACAACATAATCGAAGAATTCCTAAGAAAGAAAACCAATATTCTTAAGGCCATTCTAGATACTATATACTTTAAAAGTACTGTGAGAAGATTCCAAAGCACATATTTTCCTTTATTAGCCAAGGTATAATCAATATGTCAGCTTCCAGAGTAAGTACTGTTAAGTTATCCCAAAAAATTTAGAAAATCCCCAAAATGTTTCAAAGTCTTTCTGTATGTATATGTCTGTGTGTGTGTTTGGGGTGGAGGAACAGTGGGCAGGGCCAGTAGGTGGAGAAGAGGTAAACAGATCAGAAAGGCTGGAAAAGTGTAATAGGCCAGCTAAGCTAGATACCCATTTCCCACAAGTCTCTTTATGTTTTCATCATCTACCTCTTTTAAGTAATCATCTCAAAGCCTTAGCTCCTCAGACTACCAACACTATAAAAGACATTAATATTACGGAAGCATCATTAATCATACCAATCTTAACAGTTACAATTCTTGACCTTGAGAGCATAAAAATACCTGCAGCATAAAGCACTAGTTTCAGGCAAGAAAAACCTATCATGATTCTTCCAATGGCAATTCCAAATTTAATCTGTTGGAAAAGAAGCTTTAAGTTTACCTATAATAGAAGAGATCCCAATTTGCTTCTATTTTTATTCTTTGTCTTCTCTTTCGAAGAACTACTGGCTTTTGATTTATATTCTGGAAAAAACAAAAACAAAACTTCATAGTGCTCAATCTGGGGCTACCAAATAGGTTCAGTGAGAAAAATCAACACTTTGTAAGTGATGAGAAACATTTTCTACATCAAATTTTGGCAGAAACAAATTAATGAAGCAAAATCTATAAAATATGAATATAAAATATATCACAATGTGATATAGTGCTAGCAGATATTTCTACAGTGTTGTTGAAATATTTTCCATGTAGCCTAAAGTTATTGTTTCAACACCAAATTCTGTTACAGTTTACAGTGATGACTGATAAAACTTATAACAATCAAAAACAGTGACTTGTTTTAAAACTTACATGCAGTTAATACATGAGTCATGGGAAAACAATAAATGCAAAAGATTACAGGTTATTAAACTGCTATCAAAGCTATAAGGAGCAAGTATAAATTGAAATAGCTAAAGGACAAGAAATAAGAATCTACATTCAGACACATGTGAGGTGAGACTTGAATTTATGAGACAAAGAATCTCAAAGACAACTCCACATGCCAGGCAGTTGAATGCATTTCACACATGTAGCAGGGACTTAAACTCACCATATTGTTTCTGTCCTGAATTTAAGTTTAAAAAGGAAAAAATGAAAAAGTTTTAAATAAAAATGAGAGTGAGCCTATATGTGTTAAGCTGTATCTATTATACAAATTCCACGAGGAGGATGTCAGCAATATAAATCATCTTCATTTTAAGACAGAAGAAGGTCTTCCTGCTTCTCTAAGTCTATGACTCAAATTTTAGGCAGTCATAAACCCATTTGAGAATTCAAAGAAAGCTATGGCCCCTCTTCCAGGGAAAGACATACACCTAAGGCTTGTAACTAACTGGAGGGGAAGATTTCAAAGATTTCTTGAAGTCCTATACATGGGCTGGCAGTTGGGAATCTCTGCTCCAAATAAAGCCTGTAGATATGGCAGACATTAAAATTCTTACCCTCAATGTGACAGAACCAAAAAGTAGATAGTAAAGATAAAAACACAAAAGTCTATAACTTCATTAAAGTGACAAATTATATAAAATAAAGCAGAATTAAGAATAGAAGGACTAAAGGCTGAGTAATAAATTTTAAAAAGTAAAACTTTTACTATGAAACCTATTGGTTATATAAGGAAATGTCTCCTACAAATTTTAATTCTGTGCACTCTCATGAAAACTAATGTAAGGTGACTTGAATAAAGCACATAAACAATTCGAAGATTTAGTTTTAATGTAAAGCACTTTCTTCAGTTTTCCCAGCCCTCAGGACAAAAAGCTAGGAGTCTAGAGTAGTGAAAACATAAATGTTATACACAAAAAGCACAATCAGTTCTCTATAAATAGAGTTCAGGGACTCAGAGATTTAGGCTAAAACCCCTGATTAGCTAAACAAATTCCTCAACTAAAATAACAAAAATAAGAAAAATGCAATTTTATACATTAGCCAATGGTTATTATTAATCGAACACAGAGCATTAGCTACAAATGAAATTGACTTAAAAACATTCTGATTATATAAGAAATGCAGTTCCTTTTAAGGCTAGCCAGTTAATCTTGACAATGGTTAGTTTTCAGACTAGCTAAAGCACATGATCATTCCGTATTTGGGTGTTAATATTTCTACAAATAAAATAGTCACAAAGATTATTCACGTTTCCTAAAGAAATTAACATTAAAAATAGTACTATGACAAAAAATAATCCGTTTGCTACCTAAACAGTTTCTTGACCAGCATATCTATTTGGCATCATTATTTGCTCAAAGTTTTAGGTAACACCCACATAAATGAAACCAACATAATAAAACATTACTGATATTTAAAAATATATTATTTTTCCTCTGAATTGTTGTCTTTAAATAACTTATGTTATCCACAGTTACAGCTAAAATAGCTGTGTTCAAACTTATGCTGCATAAATGTTATGTACGAAATCAGATGCCAAAAACTTATTTCAGTTAGATAATTATACCCAACAGCTTGAACAACTATTATTTTAGAAATGGGCTTAACTACCTGAAGTCAAGAGCTCGTAATTTTTAATAACTGAAAATCACTCATATCTATAGATTTTCAATTACTCAAATGTTATAGGAATATTATAATGACCAGACATGTATACAGTGCTTCTATTATTACCTCGCCTTTTTTTTAAGAGTGAGAGAGAGGACGAGTTGGCAGGGGGCGGGGAGGGAGAGAGAGAATCTTAAACAGGCTCAATGCTCAGCACAGAGCCTGACGCAGGGCTCGATCTCACAACCCTGAGATCACGACCTGAGCTGAAATCAAGAGTCAGACGCTTAACTGACTATGCCACCCAGATGCCCCTATTATTACCTTGCTTTTACATCAAAGCAACCCTACAGAATAGAGAAGGGAGGTATTGTTATTCTGATTTTATGGAAGAGGAAAGTAATGCTTTGAAAACCTGTAACTTATGGGTTAATAAATGATAAACTAGGCTCAGATGTAGGTTAAACGGTTCAACATGCAATATTGTCTTCACTATCCTCATCATTTAGAAAGCACGTCTAATGATTCTTTATATTGCATATGTCATTCATACAGATTGGCATGAACTCCTTAGGTTCAAGTTCTACAGAACTGAATTGTGGTCTCAATTTCAGATAGACACACAAGACTATAATTGTTCTGTGGCAGCTGATTACTATGTTTAGATGTTCTGGAAATTCATAAGAAAACTGTTCAGTAAGATATTTATATTATTTTCTTTGTATAAAGAAATAGTTACCATAAGTAAAGAGATGGTTTAAGGGCAAGAATGTAAGTGGTCAACAAAAATGGTGAGATCAAGTCAACTTTTATAGTTGATTTAACCACTGCACATTCCATCCTAGAGAGAAGAATATGCCTTACTGAATTAGGTTCTATTGATCATATGACATGTTGAAGAATGAGACTAAAACTGTTTTTGATCTGACCTTGATTTGAGGAGCTAATATTGAAAAATTTAAGCACACAAATTTAATTTAAAAATGTGAATCTTATTACCAAAACACCTGTCTAACTTTGAATAAAAATGCTAAACAAGAAGAGCACCTTTATTTCTATAGCTATAAAATAAAATTCAGAGAAGGAAGGAAAGAAGAAGATACATATGAATAAAAAAATATGAATAAATTAGTATGGAAACTAAAAGTTATAGAAGAAAACTTAAGAGTAGAATTTTATATTAAATTTCATATAAAATACCTAACTAAAATCCTAATCACTGATTCATAAAACTATGAATTAAGAAAAATTTATATAGGGGCGCCTGGGTGGCTCAGTTGGTTAAGCGACTGCCTTCGGCTCAGGTCATGATCCTGGAGTCCCTGGATCGAGTCCCACATCGGGCTCCCTGCTCGGCAGGGAGTCTGCTTCTCCCTCTCCCACTCCCCCTGCTTGTGTTCCCTCTCTCACTGTGTCTTTCTCTGTCAAATAAATAAATAAAATCTTTAAAAAAAAAAAAAAAAAAGAAAGAAAAATTTATATAAAAATATGAATCAGAATTAGGTGACATTTCTTCATATGTTCAGTCAGAAATATGTGACTACCATCTCTGTGAATAGCAACAATGAAAGCAAACCTACAAAATATAGATACAAAATACAAAATACTAGCAGTCTGGAAGCAGATTTTTACCTCTTTTTGTGCAATGCCCATTCTATCCCTCCAGTGCATCAACACAAGATCTACTTTTTCTTTGGCAAATTTTTCAACTTCCTTAGCAGCTTTTCCAGCTAGTCTTTGCCACTCTGGAACTTTATTAAATTTTCCATACTGATCCTGTAAAATAACATTAAAATCCATTATAGTCTTGTTTGCAAATTCATTTTTAAAATCTAAGTAAAGCTGAGTCACACTATTTATTTTACATAAAATACATACTGGATGTTAGGGGCTCAGTGAAGAAACAAAGTGAAAATTTCTACAATAAATTATACTTTGTCCAAGAAATCTTAACTTTTCTGCTTAAGTTTCAAGATGATTCCTATGTGAGGGTGGCAAGATGTGAATGGGAGATGGGGTATACAGAGAAAAATAGAGTGAGGAAAGGAAAAGAACATATACAAGACATTATTATAATGGTGTATCTTGAAAGATGTTTAAGTATCAGAGATAGCCCAACCTTAATAATAAACATAGCTTTTATTTAAAAAAAAAAAAAAAAGTCCTGAGTTAATTTTTTCACTACTGGCTCCTTTCACCATTTATCAATCACACATTATACACAAAATATCACACTATACATTTGAAACTAAAAAAAAGAAAAAAAAAAATCCATTCCTGAATGTGCCAATAAGCTGAGTTAAGGGGAAAAAAATATACAAGGTTACTACTATTCATATTATTAGACTGAGGTGATGGTTTTACAACTCTATAAATATACTAAAAATTACTGACCTGTACACTTAAAACAGGTGAATTATATGGGATGTAAATTTTACCTCAATAAAGCTGTTATTAATAATACTTTTAGTATATGTGTGTGTATACACACACACACACACATATAGTAGTACTATACTTTTAGTACTACTATTCAATACAGTGAATTCTTGGTTTATTTCTGAAATTTTTAGTGTGTTTTACAAAGAGTATTCTTTTTAACCTGAAAAGACACTTAGGACAATCATTATTTACCATTGCTATTTTCACATTATCTCTAACATGCATCCGATCAGCATCCTTCTCAGGAACTGGATCTGAACTGTCCAAGTATGCCAGCAAGCCTGGCGGCTAAAAGCAAACAAACACAAAACATAAAATCCATTTTCAAAACAACCGCTCAAAAGAAAATTTAGCTTTCAAAACCCAAATAAATTAATACTATGATTTAAGCTACTGAGGTTAGCATTTATTGTGTGACAACTCCTATGATAAGCATCTTTTAAATAAAAAACAAGCAAATAAACTAAAAAAAGTCCTTTAACAGTATAAACTTACTCAATGAAATTTTATTGGGCAAGAAGACACAAATCTTCCCGGTCATTCAACTGACTTACCAAAATGCGTTTCAACAAGTTTGTCGCAGTTGCGTTATCAGCTGTCCAGAGTCCCACTAAATGTCTACTTAGCTGTCTGAAAAAAGCAGACGTTGAGAAAGGTTTGCTGCTTTATCTCAGCTAGAACAGAAAGGAATTTTTAAGAACAAAATATCATATAAGAAATAAGGCTACAGCAAAGAAATCATTCTGATGTTAAATATTTAAAGTTATAATGTGGAGAGGTGTATGAGATAGTAATTCAAAATATTGCTAACATTTTAGAATTTTCTCCAAATCAAAATGTTTCCTTGATAAACTCACTATTTTTCAATGGACTTGAACACGAAGAAGTAGGTTTTTACCTCATTTAAAGAGGGAAAACAAAACAATTAGACTTGATGATATGATTCGTTTGCGTAACAAGTCCTGATACAGCGATCATACAGCATTCTGGCATTCTTTGGAATTCTGAACATGAGCAAAAGTCAGTAACTATGTTCTAATATAACCTATTTGGCAAGGTTAGATATAGACTATATTTTCAGTTTTGGAGTCTGGATAAAGACTTAAAGCATTTAAAGCAAATTATTCTACTCATGCCACTTTAGAGGTAAAAGCATATTTTGGTTCAGAGTGAAGAATCTAAGATCCATGTTGAATCTATGACTTAGTCATTTATTAATCTTAACCGTCATGATATGCTCCTCATGAGCAGAGAATATATTTTATTCACTGTTGACCCTCCTGTGCTTCAGTAGGGATTCAAATTGCCATTTGCTACAAGAATGGGTATGAAACCTGTGAGAGAAATAACCAAAACTACAGACATACGTATTTATACAGGTTTCATTCCCAGAAGAAAAAAGTTTAAAAACCCAAATTGTACTATGTTCTATCACGAAAAAAATGAACACTACTGAAACGGTTCATTTCTATGTCTAGTTGGAAATTAACTACTACTGAAGTAATTAATTACACTTATAATTTCCTTCACATGAATCAGGTAGGTATCATTTATCAGGGATTCCTAAAAAGGCTTTAAATAGGGATAAACGGGATAACTTTTTATAATGGCAATTTGTAAAAGATAAAGCAATGCAAATGAAAAGTGGTAATTTATATTATACATTGAAAGCTTTTCAATACTGTAACTGATCACAGTAAGGAATGTAACTAATAAAAAGGAACACAACAAGCAAACATCTAACATGGGAATTTAACGGAATAAGACATCAAATAGTCTCTATTTTAGTGAAAGATGGTATCTAGTATCACTTATAAGGCAGTATACCAAGGAAATAATCTTTCTTTTAGATCTTTTTGTCCTCTTAGGCAACATAAAAGACTACTTTTGTGGCTAACATTTATAAGTTGAGGGATGCAGACAGTCTCTTATAACAGTACAAACAGCAGAAAACTACTGGCAAGGCAGCATACTACAGCATCCAGTAACTGGATGTAGGTGACAAAAAAAGGAAATTCATGGTATCATAACAAAGCAAAGTAAACCTAAGTCAGAAATTACTGCTATCATTTAAGAAGTCAAAAGAACATGATTAAAAATATTTATGATATTCTTGGGACGCCTGGGTGGCTCAGTCGGTTAAGCGGCTGCCTTCAGCCCAGGTCATGATCCCAGGGTCCTGGGATCGAGTCCCACATCAGGCTCCTTGCTCAGCGGGGAGCCTGCTTCTCCCTCTGCCTGCCTCTCCCCCTGCTTGTGTTCTGTCTCTCTCTCTCTGACAAATAAATAAATAAATCTTAAAAAAATAAAAATAAAAATAAAAAATAAATAAAAATAAAAATATTTATGATATTCTTTTTTTTTTTTTAAACTAATGAGTCCTGAGTCATAGTATGCTAAGGATATCTGAAAGGTCACACATCAGGAATCACAAAGAAAAATTAAAAGGGATGGAATTCACAAGGCCTGGAATAAATGAATAGATTTATGTGCTTCCTTATATTTGATTATTATAAAAAAAGACAATTTACCAAAGGGGAAATTGTTTAACTGTAAGAGATTTAGGATACCTAAACCAGTTAGATATGGTTTTCTTTATTCTTAGAGTACCTAATTGACAAAAGATATTTAAAAATTGATATGATGGCCAGAAGGAAACACAAGGAGAAAAAGCCTGGGCATATAGTGCTAGTTCCATAAGCTTCTAGACACTCTTTCCCATGTTCCAGTCCCATGGCTATGGGTGTAGGAGCCATAATAGGAAAGTGAGGGGAAAAAGGCAAACAGATTTGTCGTCCGCCCTCCCACCCTCCAAGCTATCCAGGGGCAGGGGCAATGATCATCAGGACACATTCCTTCTATAGGAAAAGGAAAAGGAGAACTAGGTGAATCAAAAGAAAATGAAACACTTGCATAATCCAAACACTTAGTCTGTTTTATGTAATATCTGAATCCATTTTATAAGCAGCAAGTTAATTTATAGCAAATTAAATTTAACCTACCTATTTGTAAGCATCCTTTGATCTGAGCTTATTGTAAACATCGCAGTATGCAAGTGTCGAGGTAAGGCACCTTCACTTAGGGCAAGCTCCTGCATTTTTGTAGCAATTTCTTTGTCACCTTCCTTTGGAAAAAGGGTAAGATGATCCCTAAAGCAGCACTCCAGAACACACTATCCTAATTTTATAGAACTAATTTTACATCTTTAGGTAAAATAATTATGTAGTATACAATGTAATGAAAATTTGAAATGCAACTTAACTACCCAAAAATAACACAGGTGATACAAGTAATTTTAAAAATATTTACCTGTGGAATGAGGTTTTAAATGTTTACAGATACATTTATCTTCTGAATTATGCTTTGTTTAATATTAAAAAGAGATTCATTCTCGGAGTACATATCAGCCAATGAAAGGGAAAGGCGACTCAGGGACATCAGCAATTCCTACCGAAGGCATCTGCAAACCCTCCTTGCTTTTATTATTAACAATATATTCATTTTCATGGTGAACACAGTTCTTTACTTTTTTAAAAGAATGATGTGATAAATTGGGATAGTTCTTTCTATCCTGATTTTATGTGCTTATATGGACTCACTTTGGCAACAGAGTTAAGACAGATAGGACTACTAATCAAAGGTAAACATAGAATTATAAATTATGTAAGCAATGGGATATTTAAGACAGCCTAATGGAAAGCAAAAATACTCATGTTAGTGAAAAAAAAAGGTACAAGTATATAGTAAAACTGATATGTAGTATGTATACAAATATTCACATAGTGTGAATATGTATATGTATCATTCTGACAGTAGTATCAATACAAATATATACACAGTAGGTACCCATATATATAGTTTGTATATGTACACATATAATTTGGAACTCTACAGTCTGAGAAAATTTACCAAAATGCTAATTGTAGTTATCTCTGGATGATAAAAATATAAATGATTCATTTTATTTGTTCCTTGAATTTTTTCTGTAAACACCAATGTTTCTTCAAAGACCAGGTACTGCTTTCACAATCAGAAAAAATAATTTAAGATACTTGCCAGGATTTCAGTGTAAATAAAGAAGGTGTTCCTTAACAGACATCAGCTCTAGTCACTAGCTATGAGTCTGACATGTGTGGCTTATATTGAAGCCCAAAGTCCACATTTTGGTTATTCCTGGCCCTCCATGAATGGCAATATACTGGTGAATCAAGGTCAGGAAAATACACTTTTGTTTGGTCTCATGGTCCTAACTGTCCTTGGCTGCCAGCTCTGTGAGAGATACATTACTTTAGAAGCTAACACCCATTAGCTACAGGAAGAAAATTAGCCTTTAGCTGTAAATACACACTAAAAATGCACAAAGAACTTTGAGGTGTAATGCCTGTATATAATTTTTAAACATCTACTTAAGAGTATACTAATTCTGTGCATTTCATTTAGCCACATGTTATATTTACCCAATACATATTTACATATTATACTTATATCACTGCGTTTTTTGATACAAGGGGCACTCTTAACATTTTATCCAAATCACTACAAACAACAAAAAGAATTCAAAGCCATTTGGACTGATGTCATTGTGAACATCCCGTATTCAAGTTGATGTTTATAGCCATGATTTTATTTTCTAAAAATCAGAGAGCTAAAGCAACTATCTTAGAGAAACAATATCCCATGTCTGACCAACGATATCATGTCCTGATCTCTAGAGCTTAATTACAAATGCACTTTAGCATGAGGAACTAATTTTTGCTACCATTCTTAATACCACTTTGCTATGAACTAACTTCATTAACAGATTTCTATGTAACCTCAGTACCTAATGATTTCAATACCATCAATACCATCATCCCCCACCCCCAAAAAGAGCAAGAGAGGAAGAATGCTAACTTTTAATTCTTTTAAAACAAACAAAATCCAAATAACGTAGGAACCAAAAGATCTACTTGCCCTAAACCCACTTACCTCAGAACTTTAAACTCTTAGTTTAATATTGAGGATTGTTTCTGTAGTTTAAAACTAATTTCTCAATAATGACTCAAAATTACTTTTCTTACCGAGAAAAACTGCATGTTTCCCATAAAAGGCTGAAAGGTAATTTTGTCAGCATCAATTAAAATAGCCAATCAACATTCAAGTAGGCTTAAAATTTCAAAATTGTTCTCACCTCTATTATTGCCTTCATAACCAATCCAGCTCCCTTTATAATTGCCATGGAAGGATGCTTTAAAACAGGGAGAAAAGTATCACAGAATAAAAGAATTTGATTGCAACATACTAGCTATTGCTTTTAAGGAGGATATACAATTTTATAAGCCATAAAATTAGTAAAGGATACATCTCAAAGTCAGTTCACAGTTTGGTTAAAAATTTTGGGTACTCTTACAAGATAGCTTTAAGGGTAATTAAAACAGTAGCAGGAAACAGCTGGCACTTATTTGAATAATTATAGTTATCTGAATGATAAATAGCAAGCAGTAATGATGTAAAAGAATACAAATTGACATTTACAAAACAACTGATATAAAATAACAAAAACAGAAGTATCATATAGAAACAGATCACATGTACATAATAAATACTATAGTATTATATGAAATAACAATGTTTTCAACTTTATGAACAGCCCTATTATTTGGGAATTTGTAAAGAAAAGGGTACTATGGACCTCTGAAACAAATAATGCAATATATGTTAGGAAAAAAAAAAAGAAGAAGATAGCAGGAGGGGAAGAATGAAGGGGGGTTAATCGGAGGGGGAGACGAACCATGAGAGACGATGGACTCTGAAAAACAAACTGAGGGTTCTAGAGGGGAGGGGG